TTCCTTCAGTTTTGAGGAATAGAACGTTCTTTTCTTTGTTTGTAATCGCTCGTTTGATGTTTTTGACTTCGTGTATGACGGATTTCATCGCAGCTTCGCGGAGAGCTTGTGAGAGATCCACTTTTAGGAAGGAAATTGGGAAAAGTACTGTTAGTTCACACCATTGGTGGTGTTTGGTGTCAAAGGAATAGTTTGTAGCTTCTTTCAACGTTGATACTACGTCAGACACGATTTTGCTCGTTTCTGCATCGTTAGTGATAGTTTCATCTACGCCATCTTCTTTAGCTTGCTCATCGGTCAGTTCTACTTCATCATCCGACTTCTCTTCCTCTTCAGATTCTGGGTCTTCGTATTCTTGCTCTTCTGTTCTCTTCTTTCGAATTTTTGCCTGGAAATTGAAACAATTAATGATTAGTATGACAAGTGTAAAAGTTATGTTGTATGTATTTCGCCTAGAAAGAAAGCAAAAAAAACTTACATCAGTATTATCATCATCGTCGTTGGGAGCCTCATCATCTGAACTGTCATCGTTCAAGTTAGCAGCAGGTTCTGGTTCTGGTGCGTCATTCTCCTCATCTTCATCATCACCACCACCTTCAGACCGCTTCTTTTTCGTTTTAGTGGACCAAACGACGCCACTCACAGCCTTCGTTTGTTTCCTTACAGTCGAGAACATTTCATCAAAGAATTTATTCTGCATATGTTTTATTATCTGCGTAGGTTTTACGGCGTACTGTGTCTTGTATTGAGATTGCGGCAAGAATTGGAAACGCATAGTTGTCTTCAGCTGTCTCTCAGGCTTGATCACAATCTGACATTCCACGTCTATCTTCTCTAATACATCAGCTACTGTTACCCTATTCAATTTCTGCCTCAACTTCTCAGCTTTTTTCGTCAAATCAGGTATGTCATCTCTGAATGGTATATCCATATTCGGAGTTTTCAGTTTAGCTGAGGCTGTCATCAGAATTTCTCTAAGACGGGGGATACCCAAAGTCACGTTCATGTCACCACGACCAGCGAAGTGGAAAGTGTTTAGTGTCATCTGAGTTGAAGGTTCACCTATAGATTGAGCAGCTAGTAAACCAACAGGCTCGCCAGGAGCAGCCATTGATTCAAGATATTTAGCGCTCATTACCTCCGTGAATTTGTCTTTTGCTGTGTTTTCTTCGTATGTGTCGGAATGCCGATTCTTCAAATAGCTTTGCACTAGGTTATCTAACTGTTCATTAATTACACCAAATTTATATTCAGGCGACACTTTACTCGGAATAGGGTCGGGACATTTTTTACGACCATATTGTTGTCTTTCGTCAGCGTCCATAGCACGCCATTTCTTTTCTAATTCCCAATAAAATGGATCTCTAGTTTTATCTGTTGGTAGGTCATCAAGTTCAATTTGTTCTTTTTCAATAGCTGAGAATTGTACAAATCCACTTGTACGGGTTTTATCAAAAGGACTGCCATATTTCTTTTTCCACTTCTTCAAAGACTTGTTGGCTTTATTAACGTCTTTTAAGTCTGCATTTTCTTTAAGTTTATCGATTACAGCTTCGCTAACTACTGCGTTAGCGTTGGCATCAAGGAAGGGAAATTGATCTTTTCTAAGGAATTGGCATTTGAGAACATCTAGTCCATCTTCTCCGTAAGCAAATTGAATGACACTGTCATCAGCATCCCTCACTGTGTGGTCATAGGCAATAGCTAAGCTTTCCAAATGTTTGATAAGACATCTTTGTAAGTAACCAGATCGACTGGTTTTGACTGCAGTATCAATAAGACCTTCACGACCAGCCATACAATGGAAGAAGAACTCTTGAGGTTGTATACCCGTCATGAATCGACCATCTATAAATCCTCCAGCTCTCGGAGATACATCATGAGGCGGAAAGCTAGGTAGCGATCGACCAGATATCATCAATGGCGGCCTTTTCCCTTCCAACTCGATTTGACCAAGCAAACAAGAAATTTGCATAGTGTTTACGGTTGATCCCTTAGCTCCAGACTGTACCATCAATTGAAGGTTGTTATACGGGAATTTTTCCAGCAGCCCTTCAGATAAACATGCTGTATTAATGTTGTTAGTGTAGGAATCTAGCAAGCTTTTGTATTGTCGATCTAGATTAGCTCTAAACTTGGGATCCTTTGTGTACATAACTTCAATAGTTTCTTTTAATTTTTCATCATCAACATCGGCTGGTAAGTCAGCGGCTTTAACAGCTGCAGCTTTACCAGCATTTCGAACTAAACAAATTATATCATCGCGCTTCTTATTAGCTTCTTCTACAACTAAGATATCTTTGACGCCGAGAGTAAATCCAATCCATTGCAAATAAAACGTGAAGACTTTAGAAAAAGAACTTAAGAGAGCACTTGAGCTATCGCCTCCATACAGCTCGTACATGCAATGAACTAAACCATAAGGTGTTGCACCATAATGAGTCTTATCTAGTACTCCAGAAAGAAGTTCACCCTTCCTTATAATAACTTCAGCTTCAGTCATTGTGTTAGGATTTGTAAATGGAGTACCACCAGCTTTCCAAGGCCTTGGTGGTGTCTTTTGCCAGGCCTTTGAACTAATTTTTGCTTTCCCAACCAAAGTAATGCAAGGTTTGCCTTTAGGTGTAGTATTAATGATAATTGTTGACAAAATTTGCTTACCGGACCACAGAACAACTGGTTTTAGAATGGTGGGTGGTAGAAGTTTGACTGGTCCTTTGTGATTAGGCAAAGCTTGGAATACAAGTTGTTGGTAGTCAGCCTTCGAGAAGAATGCTCCCCTTAGTGACATTTTTACACCAGAAATGACATGATCTTGAATCAAACCACTTAAGGGTGTTCCATCTTTGGGTACAAGATACTGTTTTCGTACAGACATGATATTATATGCTTCACTCCTCGCGATCTCATTCTGTGGGAAGTGAGCATTCATTTCATCACCATCAAAATCGGCGTTGTATGACTTACAATTGGCGTAGTGTAATCTAAGAGTTTTCTCACCTTTCAAAATTCGTGCTCTATGTGCCATCATACTTGGCTTATGAAGAGAAGGTTGTCGGTTCAAAATCAGAACATCACCATTCACTAAATGTCTGTGAACAATCTTCAGCCCAGATGCCTTAAACTCCTCAGGTGTAAGCAACCTCTTCGCAAGACTTTTCCTCTTTTGTATAGAATCTGTAGCTATTGTAATGATTCTTCCATTCTCCATTTCTATCTTCTCAGCACCAGGATGTTTCTTGGGTCCATTTATAACCATTTTCCTTAATTCATCCACATTCCATTCTGTAACTGGTACTGGGTAAGTTAACTTCATAGCAAAGGCATCTGGGATGCCTATTTCATCAATATCAACATTGGGGTCCGGGGTGATGACAGATCGGGCTGCAAAGTTTACTCTTTTGCCCATCATGTGCATTCTGATTAACCCAGTCTTCTTTTCAATGATTTGTTTCAAGCCCTGACTTGCTAAGCCTTGACCTTCACAGTTCAAAAGGTTATTGATACTCTTTTGTAATTCTTGCCAAACCATATGAAGTTTTTCTGCAGGTGATTTGCCCTGTACACCTTCATAGGCTTGCCTAGGTACTTGGTCAAGGCAGTCAATTGCTTTCTGTTGATTTGATGATGTGAGTACATGCAACACGGCCCGTGCAGCAAAAGCATTTTGTAATATGGCTTTGTAGACATTAGTTTGAGGATGTTCAATAAGTTCTCCTCTGAGAATATTACAAGGTCTGACACAAGGAGGCAAAACAGGAACCACTTCCATAAAGAATAAATTAGTAACAGGTTTTTCTTTTGAGTTGTTTAAAACTGGAAAACATAATTTGAGAATTTCTTCATCATTTTGTGCTATTTCTGTACAAAACCGTTTGATCTCATCAGGCATAAGAATCTTGATGCCTTTAATAACTTTGTCAGTCCCTTCAGAACTAAGGTTGTACATGATTTTATTCTCGGAAGTGGTTACTTTAATAAGTCTACTTGAGCAGAATGCACATTTCTTAGCCGTGTTAATAACTCTAAAGTACTGATTTATAAACTTTGCTCTTAATTTGTCTACATTTTTATTTTGAAACGTTTCTGTTATAGGGTCTCTTTTCTTCAATAGCTTTTGGTATTTTCTGATAACTTTAGATGGTTTATCAGATGAGTTTTCTTTGTTGCTAGTTATGTCACCAACATAGTTGTCCAAGTCTAAAGCGGCTGTGATATGACCCGCATCAACCAGTTCCAGTTGAAGTTTTAGAATAAATTTCAGTCTATCGTCCATTTGAATTTTGAAACATTTTAAGCAACTGACACGAAATATAGAGTAAACATTCTTGATGAATAGAGGATTTACTACAACTAGAGGCAACTCTATGTAGCCAAAGTGCCCCGGGCAATGTAACAGTACATTATTACAAGTTCCACAAGTTTCGTTCCTATCTCTTAGAGGTCCCAACGCCGAGTCATACAGACCTCCTTTCGTAGGGTTTCCAATGGCATCAAAACATTGACTGTTAGTAATTTTTGCAACGCTGAGTTTCTTTACATCTTCATCCGTGAACATCAAGAACTGCACATATTCGGGGTCTACCGATGTCAGGCCCAAAGTAGACGGGGCGTATGATGATTTGAGGGCCATTTTAGTAACTGAAATACAGAAAAAATTGTAAGTAAATAAACACGGCATGACAACATAACCTATTTCAATATAAACGTACATAAGGGGAAATTTATCAAATATATGTGTCTTTTGAAATCCATAAAGGGAGCGTGTACTTACTTTCTATATCATACTTGATTCTCAACGGTAGTTTTTGAGTAAATGCAATGAAATCAAATATTCTTTCACGTTTTAGCCCACAACACACGATCACACTTCGACCGATCTTTTGACACTGACAGTTACTATTTTATGACAGTTCGTAAATATGACATTTTTTTTTAATAAAAACCGTACTCGTTTACCGAAACATTCGTAACTCGTTTACGTTCTAAGTGTTACTGCTTTTAAGCTTTTTTCATGTGGCAACGTCATATCAGTCAGTCAACATGGCGGCCCAAGATGAAGTTGACGTATGTGAAAGTTGGGAGGATATGGACGAAATTGGCGTAAGTGTAACAGTGAAACACGAACCTGGACGTTTCCCACCTCGGAGCTGGCCGCCGTGTAGTTATTTACATGTGGGTTTGTCTATTTCAGTTGGACCAGAAGATCAGGCTGATGTCAACTGACTGCGCGCCAGTGCAAACTTCACTCAAAGGTTGCAAGGTTACTGTTGAAGAGAACGCGTGTATCGGATCTCAGTGCGTGATGCCGGAGCCAGCAATCCGTATCCTCAAGAGGCCATCTTCATCGGGCAGTGGGCAGCTAAATGGCGAGAGTCGCGCGCGCCCGGTAAAAACACTTGAACAAAGGCAAAAGGAGTACGCCGAGGCTAGGCTGCGGATCTTGGGTGAAGCCCGTAGCCCTGAGGATGTTATTGATGACAAGTAAGTCTGGTTTTATTCAACAATTACAAAATTATCGTTTTACATAACACTGTTATGCAGCTGCAGCGGAGTTGGTCAGAGCTGTCAGGAACTGTTGGCAAAAACAGTAGCGTTTGGCGCTAATTTATGTTTATGACTGTTTATCACCAATCAGGTCTTTAATAGATCGGTGTACTCTAATGAAGGTCCTTGAGAAAATGATTTAACTCATTTTATATTCCATGATATCATTTAATAACAGTTTTAATTTTAAATAAAGTGTTTGACCTTAAGATTATTTATGGAATTAGCTTACAGTATTGTTTCACTACTTTCAAATAGTACTTACTTTTAAATAAAATCCTTATCCTTACTAATATTATAAATGGGAAAGTTAGTTTGTTTGTTTGTTTGTTCCGCTTTCACACCATAACTACTAAACTGATTGCTTTGAATTTTTGAAGATGTATAGTTAAAAGTACGGATTAAATAATAGGGTACTTTTTATCCCGGAAAAATTTGATATTTCCGAGGGAAATCAAAAGTATTGGTATAGATGGCGCGGTGTGTATTGGTGTTATGTCACATTGGCTTTTTATCCTTTTGTGATGCGAGCGAAGACGCGGGTATAAGCTAGTGAGTTATATTCTTAAGGCTCAGGCTCACAAACTGCATGAATGAAATATCTGTTATTTGTATTTTCCTTGTTTGATTACTTTTTACTGAATAACTTGGGTATGGGTAATTACGTTTTTAGTAAATGTGTATCTATCAATACCCTACTACTAATAATCTATGTTTTTAGTAAATAAATATTGATCATAAACCCAAGAGAGACATGATGCAAGTCCCATCTAACATAATGCTTATCTCACATTACTTTTATGATAAGAATAAAAGTTTAACAGAGATTTTAAACACAATTGAGTTTCATATATTGCTATACTAATCTGGAATACATTCCGGAATAAAACACATCTTAGTAACAAAGATTGTGTTGAAATGTATTTGTGGTAGTGATGTAATAACTACATAATATGACAGGCAATTTGTACATCATAAATAAAAAATAAATTGAAATATAGATAAGTTATGATTTCAAGGAAATCTTAGGCTTTATTGAAATTATCCTAATGGCTTAGATATAATCAATATGATTAAATAAAAAAATGATTCATCAACATCTTTGTTTTAATAATGACTTCAGCATACCTATATCTCGTTTGAGTTGCAGCTGTTATCAACAAATTAAGTCTCATGCGTATACTATAACAGCTTGTATATTTACTTTTTATCTTCTCTGTTCCAGCCTCGGCCGACTACAAGACAAGTTACAAGTCATCAATCTCAACGACAATCAAAATAGTAGTAGTAAGACAAAAACTCCGCCATGTGACAATAATACCAAAGGAAGGGAACGGAAAGTTCTACCGCGCCTTCCACCAGGAGCCACGGCTTCAGGAGTGTTCCCATCCCCCCCACCGCGCGGTGTGCTCGTCATCAGAACTCCCAGAGGTCCTGACGGCACAAAAGGCTTCCAGAAAAGGTAGCACCACCGACACACTCAATCAATTCACTCACAAAGACGTAATTCACTTCCATCCATTCAAACTACCCATACATTGTTAAATTACCAGTTGTGCTGTTATTTTGATATTAGTGTAATAATTATTTCACAGTTTTTAATTGGTTTATAGCGGTCTGTTTACATGTCTTGCCTGGACTATTTATAGATGGGAACATGTACATTTTGCAAGTCGTAAATGTATGATTCATGTCCAAACATTACTGTGTAAATTGTAAGACTTGTTTCCCAATTGAGGCAGACTGATTTAGCATGCATTATACTTAGCTACATTATCATTTGCGGGTCTACGCTCTATATACATTCAATTATGTTTAGGTGAATTATACACTGATTAGTGTAAGCACTTTGCATATTGCTTAACCTTAAGTGGTTGTGCCAAGCATTTGCTGACTGATTTCTGCCTATTAGGTAATCAGTTATATTAACACAAGAGTAAATAACCTTCAATTGTAAGACCCCAAGTCTATGTAATATCATTATTATGAAATTAAGGGATGAATTAAAAATTGTGAAATGATGTAAAATTAATGAGTGCTCACTTCAGGGAACAATGTTATTGTTATAATATTATATAGAACAGAACATTGTAATAGATTCATAGAGATTTTACTAAATGAACACCCTGACAAAATTACGTGTGCATTTACATAATTATATGAGCATAATTTATAGTTACATTTCAAATGAAAACTACAACATTGTATGAATTTAGGCAAATGATGACTAATTAACTATTACCATTGTGTGAATACGATTTATATATTACTAAAAATTCAAAGTTTTAGTGTTAAACTTTTTATATACAGTTTTTCTACATGTATAGCGTATTTTTAGGGTTAAGATATTGCTAATTGTATATTTATAGTATATTATTTTACTATGTTAAGTTTTTCAATGCTTACATAACGTTTGTGTGGATTCTACGAAGCTAAGGAGGGAGGGCACTCAATCTGATGTTCCCTTATTACCTATAGACGAATAAAGCTCTTAAAATTATGGTCATAGTGACTATTTCGACTCCATAGAATAGTGTAGAATGCACACAAACATTGTGAATATGCATTTAAAGTGTGACTGATATTGTGTGTATGTGATTTGACCAGATATTATTTTGATTATAATTATTTTAAGCGTATATTTATGATATACATTGGCGCTTATTTTCTTGTACACTAACTTGTACCATTATCTTTAATTTCATTGAGTAATATTATTCCTGCTGAATTAGTATTATTATTCTTCGTGTTTCTAGTCTACACCTCTTCTAATCAAGTGTGAGCTTCTAACAACAATTCTCATTGCTATCTCTAGATTTTGTTATTGTTACAAATTGTAGCTATCTCTAACGCCCAAATACTGAAAGGATACGAGCTTTAGTCTAATGGCAAATCTGACTTCAGAATGAGATCATAGTTGCAAGTACCTAGTTTAGGTAACATTAGAACATTTTAGACTTATTTTGTACTTAAACTGGGTATTGTAACAAAACTCGACTTTCATGGACTAATTTAAGTGTAAAGTCTTAAACCGGTTGCTGACATCTGGTCTAAACTACATTAGTTTACTTTGTATAGTCGACGCAGTTTTCCAAGCTTGTGTGCAAGCCATAAACTATGCGACAAGTATGAAAAACTGCTATGGAAACTAAACTTACTTAGCTTTTATGCCTTGTTCACACTCCGCTAATATTTTAGTCGAGTAACGAATATTCAGTAATCCTCTCTCGCTTCTATCCCAAAATGGAAGTGAGAGTGAACTACTGAATATTCGCAACCCGACTAAGTTACTAGCGTAGTGTAAACAGGGCATAAAAGTCTGCAACTGGCTGGAGACTAATGTTAGTGTACAATAAAATAAGCAATAATACTCAATAAGACTGTTATGGCCTCACTGTAAATAAAGTATCTTATATACTTTCAGTGTTAGTTAATTTTTAGCTATTTGTGTGTACAGTTGAACTAAGATATCAAGGTACACTTCATAATAAGTGGTTCAAATATAATAATGGGCCTATAATTTGAATAGTAGATGAAAAATGTGCATCTTTTGAAGAAGAAAAGCTGTTGTGTTGGGTGTATCTATCTAATTCTGATGCATTTTAGAATTATTCTAATGAAGAGCTTATAATAAGCTTTTCCATTTCTAGTTCGGGTTAAACGTAAAGAAGAAGTGAATAAGTAAGAAAAGAGCGTATCCCTTAAAAAGCCGGCAACGCACCTGTGACTCTCCTCTGGTGTTGCGGGTGTCCATGGGCGGCGCTGATCGCTTACCATCAGGTGATCCGTCTTCTCGTTTACCTCCTATTACATAAAAAAATGCGTTTTCAAGATTTTTTGTAGTAGGCAACAAAACTTGTTTGTAAAATGGCATTTTGCTTGCATCTAGGCTTTAATACGGGACTAAATATTTATATTTTATGAAAAATAGATAGACGGAGTATATAACTGTGGCTATAAAGATTCTTAATTCAACTGTACATACAATAATAAATAAATGTAATCAAAATAATAATGGTCGTGACAAACCAACGCTAGTGTAAGTCTACATTGTAACAAGGATTGTGATATAGAGTTAATTGTCTATTGCAAACCTTACTCAACTGTCAAGTTGACTGTACAGATAACAGAAATACACTCTTATCATATTATTTTGTACTTTTAATCTTTAATTATAAAACAAGTTTTGAGAGAAACTGTGGTTTATTATAGGACATCGTTGTTGGGAAATATGAAGAATATAAATTGGATATGTTGATATGGAAAGTCCACATGAGCAACAATTAGGCTGTATACACATTACGCCGCTGCGGCAACGGCAAACAGGCTTACGACCAAATATTGAAAAGGTACTCAATTTTATGTCGCGCTGCAAACTGTAAGATAAAGGCGTATTCACAGTGGTGTGAAATTCAAACAAACTATATTTTAAAAGATTAAGCTTAATCAATTTATAAAATTACGCTTAGGGAACAAGGCTAAGCTGATGGACAATGATGGCTTACTGCTTTCTTGACGCGAATGTACTATAGCGTAGTTCTGTCTCTACAAAATCTTTGTAAAATGACAGAGATGGCGCGATATTTAAGTACAACTTTAAACTGTAGTAACCTTTCAGTATGTTTTTATAATAACTATCGTGAGACATACTAAATTAACTATCATTATCTATCTATCAATTAACTATCAGTAGGCTGCGGGACATCGCCGCGACCGCACACGCTGCCCAAGAGGAAGAACCCGTCTGTGATTCGAAACTAGTAGAGCTTTTCTCAGTATATTCACGTGAGTAACCCGCGATTTTTAGTTAACCTTTCAGTATTCGGGGGATAGTAATCAAAACGGTTTTAATTACAGATTTTGCATTGAGATTCATTATTAATTTCGACTGAAAGATTCGAACCGGTCTTATTTTGAGAACATAATTCTTGAAAACAAGGAAGCGATTGTTTGGAATTGTAATTGATATAAATAACTTTCTGTTCTCATGAGACAAAGGTATTGGATTTCGTTCCTGTTTATACATAATACATGTCTAAGATACGACTTAAATTTCTTCTTATGAGTAAGATAAGACCAAACATCAAGTGATACTTGATTCTTCAACAATATTTGTTACAGCCTCTCCCGTTCAGTTTTATCTACTGTTCGCATTGATCGCAGCGTGATGTTTTAAAGCCTATAGCAGGGGTTCCCAAAGTAGTCTGTACGACCTATCTAACTCAAATTCCCGATCTCAGGACCCACTTTTAGGAAATTAAAGCGTTACCAATATGAAAAGTAGAAAACAGAACGATTGATTAGTGTGTCATTGTACAGACTTGCGCATTAAAAATTCGCTTGTAACCCACCAATGGGTTGCGATTGCGACTCAGTTTGGACTCTGCCCATAGTATACCTACCTAAGTCTTACTGAATATTTTTTCGACCTAGTTCCAAAGATTAGTTCGTTCAAAAACATAAGCTTTATGATGTAAACAGTACAGCTATAGCTAGAAAATATTTTAAAAATTCGATATTGAACACCAGCCAACGATACTTAAAAAGTTCGCCAAAAATTAAAGAAATCCTTGACCGTAATTAAGGTGCCAATCTAAGATCAATTAGAACGTGAATATAGTATTTGCAATGACGTTGCAGTTGCGGTAACCGATTTTAAGTTTTATTTCCTTCGGCTGAAGACATACTGTCATAGCATCGCATAGTTTGTTTTGGTAATGTTACTCTATCAATAAAACTTTGGACAGGAAGACTAGAAACACAACACTGTAAAATCCTAATCGAAAAAATGGTATTCGATTTTTTGTTTTTTAATTTCTTACCAGTTTGAAAGTCGTAGCCGTAGCCTACAGAAATGTTAATATATCTGTGCCGTAGCCCGTAATTTCTACTACAGAAAATGAATAAACAGGACGAATAATAGGTACTAAATAGACGATATTAATTTGTCAAGGAAAGTTTTGTCTTTAAAAAATAATTTAGTAACGTGTATGTCCGAACAACAATGAAATTATTATTCCCGCTCCAGTTGACCTAATTATTGCTAAGTAGTTCTCTGCATCGTGGATAGATGGCGTTAGTGAAGCGCCTAAAGTTTCTTGTCAAACATTTTCAAATTAAATTCTTTGTATTTTTAAAATGTACGTGGAAATGAAAAATATGAATGAAATTATCATTATTATTTATTGTAGTATTGATTATTTTAGTTTTAAGATCCTGTGTTCTGTACCTATACGAAATAATGTTTGGTACAGAGGCTAGTAGATGAACCTACTTCAATCTGTCAAATATATTCATTGGATTTTCGACTGTATCTCAGTAGAATAAAGTTGAAGATGTAATAGATAAATTTGGGATAGGTTGCTGACTTGCTGGTCTCAGTGCAAACGAATAATTTTGATGTTGATTTTTTTTAAATTTACCTTAGGTACGGTTACCTATGAAAATCGATGAGTTCAAAAATACAAGAAGATGGTCTAGCATGCAATTATTTATTCTTAAATTGCTACATAATGCAATGAAATCTAACTAAAATTAGAACAAAACTATTTTACTCTTTGTAACTGTTACTGCTCCAAAGATAAATAATATATTTTCCTATTGCTAAGGGAATAGAGTCCAAATTGGAGAAACAAACGGAATAGTGAGTTCAGTATTTACGCAGCATTTTATGCATAGAATTTTGAACCTTAAGTACTTCTGTCTTAAGATTCGTTTATACGAAAAAATATCAGTAGGGGACGATGTTTGAGATAGTCATTTGTTTTTTCCGATCCTCGAAGTTTCCAACGATGCCAACAGAATTCACTAGGTCAATAATTCGAATAATAGATTTTCAGTTTATAGTAATAAGGTTGAAAGTCTAATAAAACAACTCATGTTTGTAAAAAAATTGCGGGACTGGGTTTTTAAATTCAGGTTAATAAATAATAACAAACAATAAACGACACTGTTTTTATTATAAAAAATCTTTAACGCTAAAACACTCAAAGGACACTGTACTTTAAGTCGCACTTGAACCTTCAAACCTTGAAGAAAAGAGCATATTCCTTTTTAAGAGGCCAGCAACGCACCTTTCACTCCTCTAGTGTGGCGGGTGTCGATGGGCGGCGTTGATCGCTCACCATCAGGTGATCCGTCTGCTCGTTTCGTTCCTATTCCTTAAAAAGGAATAGTTCTGTCCCTACAAATTCCTTGTAAAATGATAGAGATAGCAGAATAACTTAAAATCGAGTAGCCTTTCAGTATTCAAGCATATGACGTTCAAGTACCTATGTAGGTATGTTGGTATGTTTATTGATTTATCGCATCTGAAAGTGTTTATACTCAGTTTGTGCGTGTTCATAAATTAATGTTTATTTAAGACTATATAGCTGCAATTACCACCTTACCTACCTAACTATGAAATAAACGATATTATTGTAACAATAATTTATTTATTTTAAAATAAAACATTAGTAATTTCGATATTTTATAACAATTTCTTTTATTGACCGTAGTGTCATGCGCCATCCCTTATTCCAAGTGTCGTATTACAATACATAAAACTCTTTCATAAACTACGTTTAAAAAACCGACTTCAACCCCTCAATTTTTTTATATTGGTTGATTACTATATACTAAAACCTTTTAAGTGTAACAAATACTTTGCATCAAAATCGGTTCAGCCAATTGCGAGATAATCGCGCACAAACAAGTAGTCGATTATAAGTGTTTTAATCCATGAATTCGTCTTTTAGTGCATAACGACATTTTCAATGTCCCTATCATCCCCTATTTACCAGTTAGTTTGGGGATCGCGAGACGATCTCCGGCCACCGTAAGCGCGGGCCTGCGGACGGCGAGCACGGGTGGCTCCCCGTCCGACCAGAAACAGGCCCGAGCGTACGGCGTGTCGCATTCCGCGCGCACCTCAAAGAGCCATCAGACCACCACAGATGGGGCCCAACAGGGCCGATGCCGATTCGGAGTCGCGGAGAACCTAACGGGTTACCGGGGCTTCGGCTCGACGTGCAGGAGAAGGAACCGCGTGGTTTTTAGTCAGTAAGAAACGAGAGAAGTAAGTCAGTAAGAAGATGTTTAGTAAGTCTGAAACTCCCTCCCGCCTCACCCAGGCGGGAGCAGTCATTCGATGATTTTCCCCTTAAAAAAAAAATTCACCAGTTAGTCTACCTACTAGAATTAAGGGGTGAATGTATTGCCAATTGCTACAAACAAGGAACAATTCCAGACATTCCGTTAGACATAGATATCGAACAAAAATGAATACCCCGAACTTGGGTATCGAAACGGAAATCCTTTGATCTGCAGTGGATCTTATGACTATTGGAACAAGGTTGTCAAAGACCGGACGTTTGCAATTCTTACAAAATATAAACGCTATGTGACATTTAATTTTCGTGGGAATTAGATCACTACTTTTCATAACATTATTAAGAAATGCCTCGTTAATCGAGTGGTCGAAAGTGCGAGTGCCGGGTAAATTATTACTAGGTTTTTAAAAAAATCTCAGTAGTAAGTAGCACAGAGCTTGGAACCTATTACATGGGACGCATAACATAAATAGTGATAAGTGGGTGTTACATTGTACAGTGGCATTAAGTACCGTAACTTGCACCTTTGCCTACCCCTTCGGGGATGAAAGGCTTGATGTTGTGTTTTTTTTTTATTACTCCACACTAGATTTTTCTCCTGTGTCGTGGGTGCGTTTACAAACATACAAGTTCACATACACATCACACCCAGACCCGAAACAACTATTTGTGGATCACACAAAGTGTTGTTCCGTGCGGAAATCGAACCCGCGACACGTTGCACGGCAGCCGGTTGCCCAGCCACCACACCAACTGTGCAGTCTATGTTATGTTGTTATAACAAATATCCTCTTTTTAAAGCTCTATCAATAATATTATTTATAGATTATTACCATTTTATTCATAATAGTATTACGTACTATGTCGGTCTAGTTACTTCGACTTGTGCGCAAAACGTTATAATATAATAAACAGACAACCAGTTCTTAAAAATTTACATAATGTTGATACAAGTCCGTATTTAATACTTATAAAATGTATTTTAACATTCTCACAATCTTGTTGTGTTAGATAAAATCACTATATAAAAAACAGTAGGTAAACGTATCTATGCGACTTGTCCCTTCTTGGGTCCTTGGGTCCATTAAAATTGTGTCCTCTAGAGAATCGCTTCTTTTTGTGGATGGGTAGTAATGACTGCCTCGTTGGCCGACTGGTCGCAAGTGCGTCTGCCGGGCTAGGGGTCTCGGGTTCGATTCCCGGGCCGGGCAAAGTATTACTCGGTTTTAAAAAAATTCTCAGAAGTAGCACGGAGTCTAGAATTGTGCCCGGTATATGGCAATAGGTTCACCTATTACATGGGACTCATAACATAAATAGTGAAAAGTGGGTGTTACATTGTACAGTGGCATAATGTGCACCTCTGCCTACCCCTTCGGGGATAAAAGGTGTGAATATATGATAATGATGATGAGTAATAATGTTATGTAAATTTAATTGTGGGAGAGCCATGCTACGGCACGAATGGGCTGGCTCGACCGGAGTGATACCACAGCCTCACAGAAAACCGACGTGCGACGTGAAAACCCAATAACACCCTCCCCCCTTCCCCAATTCACCCAATCCCTGAATCCCCAACAACCCTCAAATTCCTAATCCCCAAAAGGCCGGGTGTCTATGGGTGACGCCAATTGCTTACCGTCAGGTGATCCGTCTGCTCGTTTACCGACTTACACCGTAAAAAATCGAGTCAATTAACTTTTTGGATCTATTTTAACATGATGTTTGGGGACTGTTGAAGTTCATAAACATCGGTGGCAGTGGCAAGTGGGTGCACTTGCACCTTGCACTGCTCTGTTGGTTGCTTTTCATGAGTTATTATATGAGTCCCATCATCTCATGTTATAGATCCTTATTGTAATAGGTATTAATGCCTTTTTTTTTAAGGGCGGAAAATCATCGAATGTCTGCTCCCGCCTGGGTGAGGCGGGAGGCAGTGTCAGACTCTTACTGACTAAAAACCACCCCGTTCCTTCTCCTGCACGTCGAGCCGGAGCCCCGGTTACCCGTCAGGTTCTCCGCGACAGGTATTAATGCCTAATAGGGCTATTCTCATACACCGGTCACGATTGCAGACTCCGAGCTACAGCTGAGAAAATCTGAAAACTCCAAATATATCTTTTTCTATCCTGGTATCGAACCCGATGAAATCCATCGCTCTTATAACATTTGGGTCAACTCAACCAACGGTACAGACACCATAGTTATCAAATACAAAATATTGTAGACAAAACCAAAGGTCCCTCATATATTCACAAGACCACAACAAAACCAGCATCATTAATTCGATAGAAAACTGGTTCGCAATCCTGTTAGTTGACGACAAGAGTTGTGCCGGGACGGTCGTGTTGATAACATGGCGGCCTTGGATCACCTTAGCGAGAGAGATAAAGCAGTTCTTCGGAGCATATTCGATCCTACAGCTACGATAGCTGCTGATGTAGTTGAAGATGCTGCTGCAGACAAGTTTATTGAAGAAGAAGAAGGTATGTTGTAAAGGTTGTTATGTAGATAGCTAGCTGTTGCCCGCGACTTCGTCCGGTATAGAATATGATTCCTGTTTTATCAAATGGGAGCATTTAATCGGGATAAAAATAGTATCCTATCGCCTAAGTTAGCCCATACCCTGCTCCTATACCAAATTTTATCAAAATCCACTCTGTGGTTTCAGCGTGATTGACGGACAAACATCTATACAAATAAACTTTCACATTTTATAATATTAATGTGATATTTGTCTATAGATAGATAATTGTATTTATTTTTTGATAAAGGTTCTAAATCTCTATAAAAATGAATCTCTATATCCCGTGGTCACGTCATCGCGCGTGAATAGTTTGACCGATTTCACAACTTTTGTTTTGTTGTGTTTCGTCATAGTCAGGAAAATGTACTAATGACTTAAACAAACATTCTGAAAATCCTACGGGAACGGAAGAAAACGGGATTGCATGTACGAAGTCGTGGGCAGAAGCAAGTATGACATAAGTATTAAGTCTACTTAAGTACTAACTTACGACAATGTCACAAAAAGGTAAGTTACCTACTATAATTGCAATTCATTATTGTTTGCTAAGTTGGTCTATGGGACTTGTGAAACTGGGCATTTAGTGATTGTAAGTATATTCTACAGTTTATGTTCCCACACCTCTAGAAAAGGTTCTCAGCAGCCATTTTTTATTTCATCCTTCTAACTTAATTGACGGTAAAAAAATGTTACGGTTCCTACCTGACGAGATAGCTAGGTACCTACTGCAAGAGATTGAAAGCTTTATATCTTGCCTTGTTGGTTGATTAGTCGAGTAGTTGTATGCTCGTCTGCTGAGCAAGGGGTCTCGGGATTGATGTTACATACATTAAAATAATAATGATAATAAATAATTTATTTCATACTAGTTGGTCCATATTAGGTTAGTAAAAATGAGACTTATAAACTAGGTATGTTAATGAAATATATAAACACTGAATAAAGAACTGCAACAAAATAAAATTCCAGTGTCTCATAATGCATATATCTTATGAATTTATTATCGCTAAAGATTTTTTTAATCAATAAAGGAAGGATGGATGAAAGTAGAATAACGAAAGATGTATACAGAGCGGATATGAATGGGGCCGTCGGTAGAGGGCGCCCTAGATAGACATAATATACTAACTAGATTGGCGATATATTAAAAAAGGGCCAAACTTAAAGTGACCGAAATTTTAAGTCGACGATCATGCATGAAAAGATTGATGACTGTTGATGAAGCGAAAGAGGTATGTAGGAATCGTAGTAATTGGCGTTCCATAGTCTCTGGCTACCCCCATGGGAGACAGGCGTGAAGTTATGTACCTACGTATGTAAAATGAAATGTGACTTGCTAGTTTGCTACGAAGCCCCAGTTAGATCACCGACGCTCTGCGGTTCAATTAAATTCAAAGCATCTATTTAATTGAAAACCTTGCATAATATTCAACCTTTACATTTATTACTCAAATTATTTCCTCGAGTTCGTCATTATTTAAATTATTTCCACCCGTTCACCGTTTGCTAATTTGTATAATTATTAGCGTCAAACAAATTAATGGGTGCAATTGTAATGCTCAAACGTTTGTACTGGAGACGTGACTAGCATAAAGCAGGATTCGATATGATTTATAGACACTTGAAATGCTTGCTGAATTTATGATCTTGTTAGGTATTCGTTGGGCTGATTATAACGTGATACATGCGTGCGTGCCGTCAGAACAGTGCTCTGACAAACTGGTGTGTTTGATTCCTCAAAAGACCACGACAGAATGAAAGAATTTAAAAGATACAGACTTTGTCAGAAGAGAGAAGAGAATAGAACAGAGTTTCTCGATGGTCATTTCATTTCATTGAGGTGAAGTGAGATGAGTCTCAATTCATCTTCTTCAGTGTGTCGACATTTTATGAGTAGGCCCATACCAGCACAAGGTCACTTCCACCCAATCCCTCGATTAGCAAAAATGTTTCCACAACGAAAATATGATTATTTTTTGGCTAGCCTACCTTTGAATTTGAGATTTCGATATTCGAAAATTGCCAGTAAACTAAATAAAAGGTGCATCACCATTGGCCTTTTTTCTACACTACCTGCACTATAAGATTTACCTTTTTGTGTCCTATCTAACCACTCTATGAATATTTTTCCCAGAACCTACCACTGATGCTTTCAAGGAGTCCATAGCGCTCTCTGCCAAAGGAGTTCGGTTGGCGGAGGCTGGCAAGCTGGATGATGCGTTAGCGGCCATGACGAGAGCGGTGCAGGCTGCGCCGGACCGGGCTGCAGCGTACAACGACAGGGCACAGCTATTGCGCATGATGATGAAGGATGATGGTAAGTGTTGACATGTTTACTTTTTTGTACCTACTTCGATACTAAATACGGTGAAATAAGAAACTGCGGCTCTATTTAGGTATAAATGAATATAGATGTACCTAACTGGATTAGTCGACTTTGAAAATTCAGTTCTGAAATTTGGTCAGAATCATCTCGTTCTATTTTACTTGTCAAGAATTATAACAATGATACAATCACATCTTTTACTTCCTCAAAAGGCCTATTTTTCGTCGTTTATTCAACGTCTAATCAGTATACAAGTTAATTAAAAATGGTGTTACTAATTCCAGATGCTATGGCAGACCTCAATCGTGCTCTAGATCTGACTAAGGATAAGAAAACTCGCGCACGCGCTCTAGCGCTATGCCAACGGGGCGTGCTCCTGCGCAAGCAAGGAAACGATGACGATGCGCGCGCAGTTTTCACTGAAGCTGCTAAACTCGGAAGCAGTTTTGCTAAGAAACAGGTACCTTATACTGTGTATTAATAGATACATAATTTGTTTGTAATTTCTTGTTCCTATAATACCTATTACAAGATTCTTTATCTATTGCTTTCATAATCATCTGCCCGTGTTCGTGCACTATTGGATATAGTAACAGCAAGTCACTGAGCGTTATTTATTTGTCAGAATATGTTTACTCTCTAATCTGTTGACATATCGTACCCTAAATTTGTTCATACAAAAGTAGTATCTAGGAAATAAGGTCTATAATGCAGCTAAATTTCTATGTGTTTTCTGTTACTTACTAGGTTTCATTTACACTTACAGGTAGTCGAACTGAACCCATACGCAGCGTTATGCAACCAGATGCTCAGCCAAGTGATGAGAGGAGAAAAAGAGATCAAATTATAACATTAATCTTTCATGTTAACTTTTGTATTATACCTACCTTATTGTTGCGACAGGAACTAGTAATTAAGAGATTTTAGTTTATAAATAAAACACAGATAAAATCTAATGGATTAGAAATTTATATTGTTGAGTACAATCGACATTCACCTCCGAGAAAATCCATACAAACAACCAGAGATCCCAGTCACAGATCTACCGAGAGAGATTCCAGCGCGCGGCTGTTCGCCCCAGCACTTGGCTACACTCCCCAACACATGGCTACATGCCCCAAAAATCCTTGAAAATGACAAATTTAATACTACAAATCGAAATACTGTTACTACACTATCGATATTAATAATAGAATATGCAATAAAATCTCATAAACCATGATCGCGTGCAGACACTTTATTCATACTTTGGTAGCTGTATCCGCACACAACCATATTTTATCATCGCAAATTGGTTAAAATTCAAAACTTTAATAATAATTATTAATTAATCCTAGTGAGAGGCGACGACGATAGACTAACGGAAATTGAAAGTGCACTTTACATTAAAAATAGGTCTTTTCAAACATGGCGGCTCTTATCAAAATTCGCGCGCTTTTCAATGTCATTCACTACACCAAGTTACTTATTTCGCGCCAATTCGAATAGACCTCAAAATCGCACAAAGGAGAGTTGCTTAGGTTTCAAAGACATGTGTAACTAAAATTGATGAAATACTAACATTTTTGGCACATGTTTTTCTAAAAAAACAACAATGAAGTTTTTGTGAGATATCAATTGAGATTTTCGTATTACAATTTATCAAAACATTTTTAAGTCTAAGCAACTCTTCTATGCTTGTGAAGGATGATTTATCACAGAAATAGTTGCAGTGTAGTTTTAAAATTCAATGAAGCATTGCAAATACAGATATTTAATAATACAAACATTTCTTGAGTAATATTCATTCAAAATTGATTCTTATCGTTGTTTAAAGTGCAATTTACGGTAAAGGCAAGCTTAAAATATTTATGGTGGCAGTATATTCAAAGAGAATGATTTATTGTTTAATCAAATTAAACTTTAAACAACGATGACAAAATCTTTGGAATAAAATAACAGTGTACGATTACAAGTTACTAAAATAGTGCTTTATTATTTGCTTACATAATTGGATAAGGTGCAAAATAGTATAATGTGAGAAGTGATTGCTCTTTTATTTTATTAGTGTATTCTTCCAATTCATGACATTATTTTTTAACAGTAAGTAGGTTTTATAGTCTGTGAACTTAAATTACTGTCTTTTCAGCTTCGAAGTTGCCAGCGCAAAAAATATTGGTACGAAATTACCACTAATAAAATATAGAGCCACAAAATATAAGTAGCAAGATAAAAATGATTGGTTACAAATATTCAATACAATACTAATTTATCACGGAAAATATTTACATATTTTTGGCACAGGTGATGGTGCTTAGCGACATCGTCTTTGTAAAATTTAAAACACTTGAATATCCATTAGTAAAATATTTCAAAAGTATACTAACACCTGTATTTACTACGGGCTTAATCTATAGAAAGGTTTAGGCCTATTAATGAGATATTAAAGAAAAAATCTAAATAAATAATATCTCAAATTGATTACTAACAATTTTTCATGATTTCCCTCGCTTTACATTGAAAATAATAATCACAAAAATCAAAATATACACAATACAATCTTAATACTTATTCAAGCAATGCCGGTTAGTGTCGTTTTACAATAATTATATTATGTTACTAGAAACAAAATGTTAATAAATTATATGAATTAACAAGATTCGCCCCACACTGTAAACATATTTCTGTATGCAAATGTTCCGAAGTTCGCGTGATAAAGGACTGACAGCAACCTAATACTAACATGATATCATAACGCTATACTAAATAATATCAAGATATTAAAACTAATTCTCACTGAACACATACATTAACTATTCAACGTTTTAAAGACAAGAGTATTCATACTCCTTCAATCCATTGCCTAGTTCCTAGTATCCATAAATTTCTTTTTTCATTTATACCCAGAAATGGAATATTGATAATCCTTTTTTACAGGGTAACTAGTGATGGATGCCCGAACACACAAATGTTACTCAATATTTAAGTTGCATTTTATTATAAGACCCCTTGAAGTCTTTGTTCTTCAATGGAGTATTGCTGAGACTTCTATGGACTACTTAAAGTTGAGTATCGTTTGAGTATCGTCGTACTAGAGTTGAATAATATGTTTTGAAAATCTACAAACGTCACTTGACTAAAAATAATGTCGAAGCATATGAAGCAAGCCTATTACAGGTTCGGAAACTCGATAATACATCTTAATATTAAAAACTTACACTAGAATTTATTCAACGGATTATATATGGAAATGACTTAATATTATGACCAGAAGGTGAATAAAATTACACTCACGCGCCGACATATTTTGATCTGTCAGCTTAAGCAACAGAATGGCGTGTTCAAAGGCTTAAAATCGTAACTATGCCTTATGTACAAGTGAGATCTTACAATAACGGTTAGATAAATAAATAACTATAAGTTTTATAAACTTTTTAAATATTATATTATAACTATTATTGACCAAGTCAGAATAAAATAGGGTGTTAAAGGCGTAAGCTAGCAGACACTAGATAGAAGTAATGAAAGTATAGGAGTACCTGTGTGGCATGAATATAAAGACGAGTGACGTTTCTTTGACATATAATTAACCATTTTTTATCTGTGATTGTGAATTGACAGCAACAAATGTTAGTGTTGCAATAAGTAAAAATGTTTTAATCATTTTATTGGTATTGGTCCACACTTTCAGGTCTTTTTCACTTTAAGGTACTCGAAATGAAGAGAAAGTTCGCTAACTATACTAAATATAAAGAAATATTGTAGCTGGGTGGAGGATGTGAAGTTTATAGTTTTGATATAAACACTTCTAAATGTACTTGTAGTGAACCATGGTAGGAATGACGTCGACGCTGTTTGTAATGCGTAGGTAATGTTTATAAAGATCAATAATATAAGAAATCGAATTATTTGGTCACTGCATTAATTATGTCATTCAAAATAACAGCCCTCTTATAAAGGCCAGCCTGCAAGAGGGCATTACAAAAAGATGTTCCTTGCACCATATTCTCGTCGATTTAGGCCAATTTCGCGAAGTAATGAGCTGGTTGACCTGTTCATTTGTACGTGTACGATAAATAATGGCGTCAATATAGATTTAAAAGTGTTTATAACAAGACAGGGTCACGGGGTATGTCAAGCTGTATGTACGGCGGTACTTACAGGGACAGGGATGGGTGTGGGTAGCGCGATGTGCGCCCGCTACGTTGTCTCCCGCTCCAGCTGTTGTTAACCTACGATACTGGCTTATTTTCACATATTGAAAACTCCTTATTGTTAATACCAATTAACAATAAGGAGGTTTAATATCAAGGTAATTGTTACTTGTAAGAAATAAACAAAAAAAAAAAATAAACTGTTAATTTGTATTTAGAATGAGGTTGAAATGTGGCCAATGTAAAAATGTAGGTTCTCTATGTTCTTTAGTATGACCATTTTCGTAACTTATTCAAAGATAATTATTTGATATTCAAATTGATGTTGTAGTTGTAAAATAAATAAAATTTAAAATGCAATGTCAATGTGAAAGTAAGCCAGCATCCTTAAATTAATACATCTTAAAACTACAAAAAAGAATTTTAAAAATTACTATTACATCTAATTATGATTAGCAAAACCGCATTGGGAATGCGCGGCAAATCGAAACTACTATTGAAAGATAATAATTAATTAATATTATAATAATTAAGCTAAAATACACTATAATAATAATAATAAAGTAAAAACAAAAAACACCTAAATGTCATTTTATTACATTTCAATTTAGAATCAAATGCTTTCTTTTTCATTTTTTATTTCCACAACGATTAATCTAGCAAGAGTTTATATACGATTTTTAAAATTTATTTTTTATTAGCGATTAATTAATTATTAATTAAGTTAGTAAGGCTATTTTAGTAGACGATTATTGACAGCTAAATGCTGTTTGCAACTTGTAACGATATTATAAGAGGATAACAATTATTTTGAATTAAAATTTAAAATGGAAAATATATACGGTTAGATAAATTCAAAACTAACCCCCAACATGCTTACTTCAGTTAAATAGAGTAAGTACATGAATAATACTATTTTATGGTGATTTTTCGAGTTTAGATTATTTGTAATGTAGTCTTATAATATCGATACAAATCGAATCGAAACGAAATTATTCTCTCACGCACACAAGTAAACAGTCATCAGATCACACGCATACAAGCTAACAGTCAAGCTAATACGATACACGATTAGATCATCCATACATACATACGTCATTCAATGCAATCACGATACTGTGGGAAATATTAAAAGCAAATAACGTGGTACCATAGACAAAAAAACTAAATAATACGACCTCATTCGGCCAAAAAAAAAAATTCGCACTGAAATGATCTGAGACAACAACTGAACGCTTCAACTATGCAAGAAGAGACGAGATTCAAATACAATGAGCGAATAATAATAATAAGAGACAGAAAGTGAACATATTTAGCTTACGCTGCTACCATTAAAATCCAATCTAATTTTAACAATATTAAACAACCATACCCTCACAATAGATAGTTAGCAATACTCATGTCTTCAGCGAAATTTATTTATTAATATTTTCTAAAATTTTATTATAAATAGGCTAGACGATCTAAAAAGATTTTCAAGCGATCGTTTTGGTATAATAGCGTAGGCTAAATATGTTTCTTTAGCTCATGGATATCGAAATCGCATAACAATATCGGCATCCACACGACACGACAATATTTACAATATAAACAACACTGATATGTGATAATAACATGATAAAAATTAAAACGAAAACGAACAACCACACAGTTTGACGCGATCTGTCAAAACAGCAAGCGATTATAAACTTTAACGAACTTCTAATAGAGTATATTTTGACAGAAGGTATAAACACTGAGTGGTGAATAACATTTATTATATCAAGTGGCCCCAAGATCATGATATTAGAGATTGCCATGTGTCGAGATTCTGATTATGATTCTCATGTTAAAAGTAAAATAAATAAATAATATTCATACATTAATAAAATGCCCAAATAATATTGCCAAATACGTAGAGAGCAAAAATTCATCGATTACTTTTTACTCCAATTAATATTGCTTAACGAAATTCGTTGGATTACATACCGATTCCATTACTTTTAATATTGCATTTAAATAAATTAATTATTGCGAGAAATTATACTAAAACAAATGACTACTCTTAGAACAACAATTCTTCTACACTTCGACAAAAAAAATGGCAACATTATTTAGCTACTACCAAATTTTAATAGCAACTAAATCATGCGCTGGCATTGAAAGGGTAGCTTTAAAAATGTCGCATGTTTTGAAGCGCTGAAAGTACTCAGGTACTCGCATTAAGGGATTCATGGGTAGTTTTTTAATTTTTACCCCACAGTCCCACACAACGTATTCGAATCCAATAGCTTGGCGTCGCATGTTAAATGTGTGCAACCCCAAATACGTTGGCCTATAATTACGATATTTTTAAAACAACCCCGTTTAACCAAAGTGTAAGAATTATAAAATTAAAACGAAACGTAAGTCATGTCGTATTGGATGTAGAATATCATCGACCTAAAACAAGAGTAGTTAACGGGAATGAGCAAATACCTCCTATCTAATCGTCATTTCGAAGAGCCTTAGAGTGGCATTCCCTCAAGAATCATACAATGATAGCTAATCGTCAGAACTTAATGTACAGTCGAGAGTGAGACAGCGAACGACTCGCGCCGTATGAGTGACAGAGACAGTCGACAGATGGAGTGAAATGCTGACTCGTACCAGGGTCTGCGCCCCGCCACACAGCCAGTCCAATAATGAGGAAAGATTTCAACCCTGGAATGGGAAAAGGTTTAGTCATTACAATATCTTGAAAGTTTCTTAAAAAATAGTTGTTTGTGTAGGTCAAATTTAATAAAATGAAATAAGATCCAAAGAAACTAACGTCTTTTAGTAGAAAAAATTTCAATGTACCGCCCGCATACTCATACTGTGTACTTTAATTTTAAGTTATCCTGTTATCTCATATCTTAAGTGTATTCTTTTTATGGGAAATAAATTTTTAAATCAGATAAGTCATTTTATTACATTTCAATTCAGAATCAAATGCTTTCTTTTTTATTTTTATTTCCACAACGATTAATCTAGCAAACGTCTAACGTCTTCCGAAAGGCTCCTCCAGATAACGTACACTGTATATGAGTACAAGACTTGTCAGTTGGAACAGTTAGCACAACAAATATATTAGAAAAATATAACAAAAATAAACCCACACTCTATTGTCATCAACATAGACCAGTCACAAAGAGAATAGTAATAGAAATACTGAACTTGCACCTTAGCGCAAAAAATGCGCAAAAGCTAGATTTCGTCTGTTTTTGAGCGTTTCCGTGGGTACAGATATAAATTGTCTAATAATTATCTTACCGTGGTAGCTCAGACGTGCTGCACAAACTCCGGGTTGAGGAAAGAGAAACCCATGAACTCGGTCTGGTCGAGGTTCATCATGAATAGTTTGTCCGTCGGCGTCAGCTCCGTCTTCTCCTGTGTGAACTGCTTGTCGAAGTTCGACACGTCCTTGCGATGTTTCTGAAAATTATTTAAGTTTAAGTTAGTTTGAGATTTGCATAAAAAACTCTTTTTTGTGTTTAAAAAAAATTTGCAAAGACACAGGCTATTGCCCAAAAAATGTTTGACCGGATTCTCCATCAATATGAAACTCAATTCAATTTCTTGTTATAATTACAATAAATCATATCAAATCCACTTAAACTAATATGTTATGATATCCGCTACCATCACTGAGCTACTAGGTCATTTTACTTCAATTATTTTAAATAATTAGTAATGAGACAGAACTTAATCCTACGCCAGCGCCGCCAAAACAGAACTAAAAGCTGCCAAAACCAACAACTTACAATCTTAGGCTTAAACGGTGGCTGTACGTCGCGGGCCTCAATGCGCGCCCAGTCGATGCGGCGGAAGAACGGATGGGTGCGCACGTCCTCCTCACCGCGAGCATTGCAGCCCAGGCGCTTCTGCGGGTTCTTTGTGAGGAACGCCTTGCATGCGTCTTTGGCTTCCTGCAAAGTGATAATAGGATTATAAGTGTTTGTCATATAAGACAGCCACGCTTTGCCACGGCACGAACGAAATGATATCACAGTCTTAAAGTTAACCGATGCAGAGGTCCAGGAAGCCCAATCCCCCACAAAAGGCTCACAATCCAATTGTAACTAATCTGGTTTTGCAGATGTCCAAAAACTCACAATTTGTAAGTTCACAGATGACCAGAAACGCTAATATACGAGTGATGAGGAGACTGCAAATTACTAACCTTACTCAGCGTCTTGGGGTAAGACACGCTATTATCAGTAATAGCAGCGAACAGTTCCTCCTCATCTTCTCCATCAAACGGCGGCTGTCCCACCAGCATCTCATACAACAGTACACCATAGGCCCACCAATCAACGGACTTTCCATACGGCTGGTATAAAATGATCTCCGGTGCGATATAATCTGGGGTACCGCAGAAGGTCTTGGTAGTTTTGTCGCCGGTTATCCCTTCCTTGCACATGCCGAAGTCAGCGATTTTAATATGGCCATCCTGGTCGAGGAGTACGTTGTCCAGTTTGAGGTCACGGTACACGATGCCGCGGGAATGAAGGAAGAATAGACCGATCGCGATTTCTGAGGCGTAGAACCTGGAAACATAAGGGTTGGGGGTGATTTTTGCACGTCGAGGAGTAAGAGACAGTTGTTATTTATTTTCAAGTCTTTTGTGATATAAACTTTAAGAATTCAGTATATAGCGTAAAGTTCAAAATAAATTATTTCATTTTCTGTCGGAGCCAAGAATTGCTTATATTTTAGGAGTATTGATTCAAAGCCAGAACTAGTTTTTATTTAAAATGGTAAATATTTTTGAAGTAGGTACCTACTGAGCAACAGTAGACATAGCGTTTATTTTTATTCAACGAGGAAAAAAAAGAAATATTAGGTACCTATTTACGAACGACAAATTCTTTAACCTTTATTGTAGACATGCCTTTAAAACGTGCAAACGAGAGAGCCTTTTTTACTCCGACCTCCTTATTGAAACTTTATTTAATAAACCGTTTTAATACTAAAAGGACAAGGCATATTTTTGCTTAAACGTCTAAATATTTATGAATTTTTCATACCTACACCTACGTAGTTACTTCAATTAAAATAATATACAAGGCAGATAACATTTCAAAAAGTAGGAACCTAAATTCTCTTTTTTTTGTAACATTTTCTCGGAACTTTCTGGATCAATCGTGTGAAATTTAACCAAACCGGATTATATGTTTCGAAATCTACATACGGAGAAACAAATATCTATAAAAGAATATTGAATTTGTACCTTAATATGTTCGTAAAAAGCACAAAGTAAATTATGGTAAAACCTACGCCTTCATTTGATGAACGCGCGTGGGTGTACGTTAACGTAAATGGAAAACGATCAATAGAATTCTTTCCTTAGATACTTTTGTGTATTCATTGCATATATTCCACTATAATTACGCATAATAAGGTCTGAGGTCGATGTTATTGGAAGTAGCTGTTGTAAGTGTGCGAGAGCTATGCTTTGGCACGAATGGGCCGGCTTGACCGGAGTGATACCACGGCCTCACAGAAAACAGACGTGAAGCAACGCTTGCGTTGTGTTTCATCGCGTGAGTGAGGTTACCGGAGGCCCAATTACCCCTTTCCCCAGTCTCCCTAATCCCCGAATCCCCCAAAATCCTCAAACTCCAATTCCCAAAAGGCCGGTAACGCACTTGTAACTCCTCTGGTGTTTCGGGTGTCCATGGGCGATGCCGATTGCTTACCATCAGGTGATCCGTCTGCCCGTTAACAGGCTTATCTCATAAAAAAAACTGCAATCGATTAAAACATAAAGATAGATAAAGCCCCTGGATTAGTTTAAGTTCAAATAGAATTCCTGTTGACCAGGTACCTACAAATAATAGAGGAAACAACGTCTTTGGATGGACATACTGGATTGTAGACAGTGAAGTTAACGTTCAAATATTAATGAAATAATGTTTGTATACTTACACGGCAACAGGCTCTTTGAATTTCCCGCACTGTTGAATCTGGAACATCAAGTCGCCACCGTTGACGTACTCCATCACGAAGTACAGACGATCCTGGAGAGAAATGCGATGTTAAAAAGTTGTTCCATTCCTTGTAAAAGTATGTAGGTAAGTTTATTCTATAGTAGATTTGATTACTTTCTTTTAAATCTTATTTTTGTACACATTTTGCGACGATGTCAATCCCAGCATGCTTTTACATAACCAATTATATTTATAACTTAAATAGTGAGATTTTTACTGTTATATCTTCAAAAAACCTAATTCCTTATTGACGTAACAAAACTTTACGAATATTTAAAATCCTAAATTAAATAATTTTGCTTAGGAATCTTAATTTCTTGTTAATCAGTTTTCACCAAATTCTTCTACAAGTATTACTGTATACAGACAAAGTACTTTCACTTACCATAGTTTGGAAGCAGGAGTGCAGTTGCACCAGGAATGGTGGCTTGCTGCTGAGCGCCAGCACTCTCTTCTCCACCATGGTGCACTCCACGTCATCATCCTGGATGATGATGTCCTTCTTCAAGATCTTGATGGCATACAGCTCGTCTGTGCCGCGGCGTTCGGCTAGCATTACCTGGGTAATAGAGAATAAATGGGGTTTTGTTTTAACGATACCCACGTATCAATAGAGCGTTTACAAACAGTTATACAAGTTCACATTACCAATCTGTAGATCTTCTTTTTATAAAAACATTAAAATTTTCTCCTGTGTCCGAAACACACCCAGACCCGAAACAACAATTTGTTGATCACACAAAGAGTTGCTCCGTGCGGGAATCGAACCCGCTACACGTTGCACGGCAGCCGGTTGCCCAGCCCCGCAATTTGATAAAATAGAAACTCAGAAAAGCTGGTTTATACGTTAAACACAGCATCAGAAAGCAGCAACCCCAGTTAAGATACATTAAACGCAGCTTCAGAGAGCAGTTACTAGCCCTAAAATGTTTCCAAACGCAAGCCAAACGTTAAGTGAAAAACGAAATGTACGAGTAGCTGATAGGACAAGTTTGTTCGAATGTGATTTTGTCGAGAGACTCCACGACGCGTGACAGCTCGCTAAAAGTTAGTCTCCGCCTCGTTAAGTGACTGTTCCATGCCTTTTTATTTCCACTGCACACTCGACTAGATTTGAAATAGGATTGGTAGATAGTTTTGCGAGTAAAAATCCTTACATATTTTTTAAATTTCGTCCAAATTCGATGGAGGGTACAATGACTAGTAGTTTCAGATATAGACTTGCTTCAATTTGCAAGAATGAAGTCCTCGTGCTGGTTATTGGAGTTATTTTGGTATTAATGTATTGTAGACTGCCTCATTGGCCGAGTGGTCGCAAGTGCGACTGTCGGGCAAGGGGTCTCGGGTTCGATTCCCGGGTCGGGCAAAGTATTACTGGGTTTGTAAAAACCCCAGTAGTAGCACGGAGTCTGGAAATGTGCCCGGTATATGGCAATAGGCTCACCCCCTATTACATGGGACTCACATAAATAGTGAAAAGTGGGTGTTACATTGTACAGTGGCATTAAGTGCCGTAATGTGCACCTCTGCCTACCCCTTCGGGGATAAAAGGCGTGATGTTATGTAGTGTATTGTTTCAAGAAAATTAAGTTCGGCACTTCTTAATAGATTTTTTGGAACTATTAATATGATTGATATATAATGGGGGTTCGACAAGGATGTCTTTAAAGACCACATGTAGAATTTAACGTATGTATCTACAGGACTCACCTTGCCGAAGGATCCTTTACCAAGGACCATGATGAAGTTGAAATCAGAAGCCCTGATGACGTCAGCGGCGGCCATGTTATGCGGGACCTCTCTATCAGGAGGAGGAGGAGGTCTACGAGCTCCAACACTAGTCGCTCTCATCTGGTTCTTCAACTGAGCGAGGTCAGTGCCTTCCTCAGGTACTGGCACGTTGTAGAATTCACCTTCTTCCTGAGTCAGCAGCTTGAACCAGCCGTCAGCTGGCGCCTTCATCAGCTCGGAGATCCCGAAGGACAGAGATCCCATGAAATCGTTGCGGGAAGTACGATCCCAATCCCATATCTGGAAATTTTTGAACATGAGACAAGGTTGAGGAGTTAACTTAATGGTTTTCGCTGTGTTGATTGCTCGTTGCAATGTGAACTCTCTATGTAGTAAATTAGGGTTGTTTTAATGACACTTACCAGCTTGTGCAGTGGGGTTTAAGCTATTAATACAGTAATTTGTAGAATGGCTAGCTAATTGATAGTTCTAATGTTTTCGTATAAATTAGTTTTTTCTAGGCCATTAAACCTGGTTAAAACGTCAAGCTAAATAGAAATTAAATAACGTTAATCTCCTAATATCTACGTAAGGATTTATTGTAATAATATTAAATTCATTATGTTCGAAAATTTCATTGAATTTCAAGTAACTATGCTTCTAAAAGTATTTTAATATGAATGCCTAACGAGAAAATAATTTTGAACACTTGACAAACTAAATTAATTCAGATTTGACACCCGTAATGAATTGCAAGCATAAGAATGAACGTTAAAATTATTTTAGAAGAATAATTAACGAAATTTTATTCAAAAATATATCTGCTTTCATTACTCATTTATCATTTTAGTTCTTTGAAGTGACATTCGAATAATGTCATCTTATGTTTTTTAGGTCTGGCTATCATTTTATTTGTTCGAAATTTAATTTCAAAGGTTGAATAACCGCCATCTTGGTACAAGTACTATTTGTAAGTAAGTAACAAGAACATGCATTTTAGTTTTTAAATAGGTTAAGCCTGCGGTAACCTCACCCGTAAAGTATTTAAGAAAAGCTCTACAAGTTTCAAGTCACACCGGGAGTCATATTTATGAGCACTCTTACGCCTTTGTACAGCTTTTAGCGAGTAGTCTACGTAAGTGAGCCGTACTTTTTAATTAAGTGTGGGAGAGCCATGCTTTTGCACGATAGGGATTGGCACAACTGCAGCGATACCACGGCCTCATAGAAAACCGACGTGAAACAACGCTTGCGTTGTATTTCGTCGTGTGAGTGTAGTTACTGGAGGCCCAATTACCCTTCCTCCCCAGTCTCCCCAATCCCCGAATCCTCCACAACCCTCAAATTCCCAATTCCCAAAGGCTCGACTTGTAACGCCTCTGGTGTTTCAAGTGTCCATGAGCGGCGCTGATTGCTTACCATCAGGTGATCCGTCTGCTCGTTTACCGGCTTATACCATACAAAAATTAAGGGTTAAATAAATTGCTTACCTCAATCAGCAGCCTCCTGTCCTTATCTTCAGGCTTGAGGTCAAAAGTCAGGGTCTCATTCCACACAGGGTTGAGAGTGCTCCTCATGGTTTTAGTTTTTTTCTTCACATTATCCGAATCCGGAATGAGCTTCATCTTGACGTAGGGATCCGACAGACCATTGGGATCCATTGGGATCAAGTTGCGGCCTTGAATGACTGTGGGAAGAAAAACAGGGTTAATTTTTTTTAATTACTTGTGTTTTGTTGGTTTTGGTACCTAGCTACAAGTTATGTGAAAAATGCGTCGCTTTGATATATTCACAGTATATACTATAATGAAATTATTTAAACAAAGGTTATAATTTTCAAGGAAATTATTATTGTTTTACTTTTGTTTTGTCAAACAGCGGGAGTTTTGAAATTGTCTTTTCTGAATAAATATTCAGTATTGAATACTAAATTTTTTGAAAGATCAACGTTTTTATAGCTTTATTACTCTATGGAACATTGAAACATTGAAACTTTCAGTATTAAATATATTGCACATAGTATTAGAAGCATTCTGAGACAATTCAACAATTGTAACGTATTCGAAACTTTACAAAAAATGCCATCAATTATTTAATCATTTTAAAGACGTAATTTGTTTATTGCTATCGAAGTTGAATGCCCTATTCACTCTTTTAATTTTAGAGCTAACATCAATTGATAATGTTTCAATAGAAATAGTCAGTAATAATAGCTAAATCGATTATTATTTCGTACCATTAATAAGAATTGCGAGAACCAAAAAAAATCCGTAAAGTATTTTTACAATAATCAAAAGTTGGCAGTCATACTAACAACGACTGCCTCGTTGGCTGAGTGATCGCTACTGCGACGATTCCCGGGTCGGGCAAAGTATAACTGGGTTTTAAAAAAATCTCAGTAGTAGCACGGAGTCTGGAATTGTGCCCGATATATGGCAATACACTCATCCCCTATTACATGGGACTCATAACACCTCGTTACCTCTGTGTGCACCTCTGCCTACCCCTTCGGGGATAAAAGGCGTGATGTTATGTATGTATGTCATAACATAAATAGTGAAAAGTGGGTGTTACATTTTACAGTGGCATTAAGTGCCGTAATGTTGCTATTACTATTACTAACAACGACTCGATCAATTACAAACTGATTAATACAAAAACCATGTCAACCTATGACTTACCCACAACAGTGAGCTTGTTCCCCTGGAAAGACACAGTGAGCTGGATGCGTCCGCGCCGCTCCGTGTGGTCGCAACCGCACAAGTTCGGCACCGACTCCTCGCAACGTTTGTGGACGTTCATGTCGCATGCTATAATGTTAAGGAGCTTTTTAATTTATTTCACACGTAGGTATATATTTTAAAACAAAAAATAGATCGTTGTAAAAAGGCAAAATATAAACAATTTTGGTGGTCCCTGTCTTTGTTTTGTTACCACCAAGAACAAGTACATAAAAGCGAACCATTTTACTGTAAAAATAATTATTACTCTCCCTTTGGCTTCGTCGTAGTCGTGTAAAATAAAAGGATAATTATATTGTCCTTTTTGAAGCTGCTGTACCTTAATACTTTATGTACTACAGCAGTTGTTCGACTCAAGAAATGTACTGTTAGTTTGTTCAAGGACTTAGATTTTTTAATAAAATTCAGTAAAGTATCAAAACTGATCATTTGATTATGAGATTATATTATAATTATTCTGTAATTATTACTTCGAATATAGCCAGGCAAATAAAAAAAATCTTTGTACATATACATATGTCTAATAAATATATTTTTTTATATTTGATGGGCCGACGTTTGACCACTATCTCGGCTGGTCGTAAGCGATGATGCGATCTACGATGGAGCACGTCGTCCCATAAGACATTCGGGCCTTGAAGACACCCAGGTTATACCCTTCATAAATCATAGACTCTGGCAAAGAATTCCACTCCTTAGCAGTACGCACAAGGAAGTTGGATACTATATAAATATAGACCATTTCAATAATGTATTTAGAAATTAAAAACGTATTTATTCAACACAAATACCTATGTTTATATTGCTATAGGCACTATAAAAACTAAAAATTATTAACTCTAAATATTTTTACAATGTTAGAGATAGAAAAATGAAGAATGTTAGCAATGCTATCGTAAATCATTCCCAATTGAAGCATTCAATGATAAATTGCCTCGTACATGTTAAAGAGTTCAAAGATCGCTGATATTTAACTATTAGTACTCTTCGAGTCCATTAATAATAATGATACATAATCACAGCTTTATTTTTTAGAAGTGCGAGGTGGAAGTGTACGGGCTTTGTACATTTTTGTCACAGTATAATGAGAAGCGAACTTGTTATTAAATAGATCACAAATTAATTAGTGTTATAAAGAATTTTAAATGCAAAATCGAGATTGCACTATTTTTTTAGAAAGCTTTGCCGCACACTAATATTTACTCGTGTGTCGTGAGTGTGTTTATGACACATGACACCCAGACCCGAAATAACAATTTGTGGATCACACAGAGTTCGAACCCGCTGCACATTGCGCGGTAGCCGGTTGTCCAGCACCGCGCCAACTGTGCAGTCATGTGTCATCGTAGTCACTGTTTACTTAACTAAGTGAGATATTATACAAGTCAATGCATAAAAAACATATAAACGCTTCGAATTTAGGAATGATTTATGAAAACATATCATAGATATTCTAATTAAAAATGTAACAGTATCATCCAAACAAAAACATGCAAAAACAAACAAAATTAAGAAGAGAAATGAATGAATTTACTTTTGTAATAGGATAATTATAACGTTAGGGCGTAATATATATTCGCCTCCGGTAATTAATGAAATAATATAAGGGGAGGGAACCGGTAATACCAACGTAACGAAGGAAATACGATCAATATTTTGTTACTGGCATTATTTTTTTCACTTATTATTTACGATTGTTTAAAATTCTTTTTATCTAAATAATGATTTAAGTTTGTTTTTATTAATCAAAATAAAAGTTAACACTAACATTTTTTTTTTTTTGTAATTTAACACTGAAAAATGTGTAAGGAGAAATAATAATATGAAGTCGGTAATCATCTGTATAGTGACAGAAACAATTTGTGTATTCCGTCACTCTCACTTCATTTTAAAATACAGCGTGACACAGAAGAAAGATAACAGTAATATTTCAATAAAAAAATTGTTACACTTCATTTAGACACACTAATATAAGCTACATATTCCGCGGATACCGCACGATCTCTGGGGAGTCGGCGAACCTCCTTGCCGGATTACCGCCGTGGGATCTGGAGGCGAAGGTGCTCGCGCGCGTGCACAGCATGCGCGCGGAGGCACGTCGCCGGGGCGAAACCCCGCTGCCGCGCCAGATAGGTGCGTGGCGGGATGAGCTCCGGCGCGATCTCATGGCGGAATGGCAGCAACGACTGTCGCAACCGAGGGCTGGGCTCGCTGCCATCGCAGCGGTAAGTCCCCTCTTTGAGGAGTGGCTTGAGAGACGCTACGGCGTCCTCACCTACCGCCTGACGCAGGTCCTCACCGGACATGGAAGTTTCGGGAGGTACCTGTGTCTGATGGGGCGGGAGGAAACGCCCGGGTGTCATCACTGCGAGGACCGCCCTGAGGACACGGTGGAACACACGGTGGGAGAATGCCCTTCGTGGGCTGAGCACCGCCGTGTCCTCAGGGAAGTGATCGGCGATGGCGACCTCTCGCGTCCGGGCCTAGTGCAGGCCATGATGCGGAGCGAGGGGGATTGGGATGCCGTCTCCTCCTTTTGCGAAGCAGTCATGCTAGCTAAGGAGGAGGCGGGACGCGTGAGGCAGCGAAGCGCTGCCTCCTCGCAACCCAGCCATCGCGAAGGACACACCGGGCGTCGGGGATCGCGGGACGATCTCCGGCCACCGTAAGCGCGGGCCTGCGGACGGCGAGCATGGGTGGCTCCCCGTCCGACCAGAAACAGACCCGAGCGTACGGCGCGTCGCGTTCCGCGCGCGCCTCAAAGAGCCATCAGACCACCACAGATGGGGCCCAATAGGGCCGATGCCGATTCGGAGTCGCGGAGAACCTAACGGGTAACCGGGGCTCCGGCTCGACGTGCAGGAGAAGGAACGGGGTGGTTTTTAGTCAGTAAGAGTCTGACACTCCCTCCCGCCTCACCCAGGCGGGGGCAGTCATTCGATGATTTTCCCCCCTTAAAAAAAAAAAAAAAATATATAAGCTACATATGAACTAAAACTGCATAGAGATAGATTACAGAGTTAAACAGATATTCACAAAGTAACACAGAAACACAAGTGTTTGTAGTTAAATAGTTCTGCCGCACGAAACTAGATGGCGTTGCTAAAATACGTCACAATGTACATCGCGGTGTTAAGATTCTCCGTCGATACACCTACCCCATTCGAAATTTTTGTGTTAGTTTGAGTTTGGCATTGATTAGCAATAAATTTACTAGTACCTACATGGACTCTCAGTGTTTCTCTCACTTACCCCCAGTGCGCGAAAATAAAAGTACAACAAGTCACACAAGTTGCAGTAGCCGGTGAAGCCTTTGTCAACGCTCCACTTACAGGCGATATAACAAAAGCTTCATATAATAACAAACTACATCAAACTACGTGCACACCAACTTTAATGTAAAGACGTGCAACACAGCAAACAAACTCAGCTGCAGTAGACACAGGAATAAACAGGCAAACAAATTAAAATAAACAGAAGCAAATTTAATTTCTCCAACGATCCTAAAAGGGGGAGCTTCGTTATAATAGTCCAGACATTTATTATACACATTTATTCACGATCCATAACATTTCGTGCAAAGGGACCTCCTTGTCTCACTAATGGGAGCTGACGTGATACCTGGGGCTCAGTACCGTCTTGTGCTGACAACATTGACTGTTTAGTTGCAAAGGCATACATTAGTCTTCTCGTGTTAAAGCATTCGCTATCCAGGAACTAGTTTCCTCTTGTTAGTGTCATTCTATAGATACGACTATATTATACCTCCGCATTTTAATCCCTGATGGGCGAGACCATGGAGTAATGTACCGCAGTGTTCACAAAAAGTTGGCGCAAGGAATGTCCACGTGTTCCATTTGTGAGGAGCGTAGGCCGCCTTTACAATCACAAACATATCATTATAAATTTAAATAAGCACAAATAAAAACGCGGTTGGGAGCGAGAGCGTTCCTACTAAAGAAGACAAACCTAAAGAGTCTACGAACACAGAAGAGTTAAAAAGCATTAGCAGAAAGCACCATGACCGATCTGGAAGAAAGTTCTAGAACACAGAAGCATTTCCAAGCGTTAGTGGGTTACTTCCGCGGTCGCTTGGTACCTTGACACTTGAGGCCCTGGTGGATGAGGCCGTACAGAAGAGAGCCACAGTGGTCGCAGAACGTCGGGGACGAGTATGTGCAGCTGCGGAAGTTGTGCTTCGTGCGTGTATCCTGTTGGCCAGTCATTTAGTGTTACTGTAGCACGAACCCGAGTTTATGACGTCATGGTGTCAGTCGTCGCCTGCTGTAGGGCTGTACTTACCAAAACTATTGTGATTCATTTTTAAGTGTGGATTGGATGTGTAGTTGGGTAATATGTATTACCCGATTATAATACCTCTACCTAATGATATAAGTATCATATTTATTAACTGTGTGTGTGTAGATTGTGTTTGCATTATGGACATTGCTGTTTTGTTTTATGATTCCCTAGTTATTATTGGAGTACATTTTAAGTTTAAATCATGGATGGGTATCTACCTCTATATTAGATTCCTGTCAGTGTAATGCGTCGTCTGTTGTAGGGTTGTGTCTACTTACCAGAATGATTATTATCATTTATTTTTAATTATGGGTAGGTTTGTGGATATTATTATGTAGTAAAATCCTTCTTTTGAATGCAAAAGTATTTTTTGTTGATGTTACAAAAAGTACAATAAAAATATTGTGTTATTTGTTTCTGTGTGTGTATGTGTTTGTGTATGTAGATTGTGTTTATATTATTGACATTGCTGTTTTGTTTTATGATTCCCTAGTAATTATTGGATTATGTTTTAAATCATGGAAATATTAGATTCAAAGTGTATATTAAATTGAACCATAACACGAACTAGTGTACACACACGTTAATTGTCGAAAATGTTCTGATGTAGGTACAACAATTTCGGAATCCACTCTTCGTTAAAACTATTAATTATATTCGAGTTAAACATTTTAGCAATATTCCATTTTGAATCGAATAAATCACTTATTGTGTTAAAAGCTTGGTTATTGGAACATATATTATTTTAATAGGCACAAAGTCATTTATTATTAATGCTTTTAAAACGTATTATAAATTGTTGTTTGTTGAGAAATAATTCAAAGTTAGTATAATTAATCTATTCAAATTATTAATTGATTGATTGATTAATAGCACTGTTTGACTATGAAAATGATATTATTTCTCAAAATATGTGTGGCTGTGGTAGCCCGGAGGTTTAAGTGTAAGGCGCTAAGTAGGAGACAGGAAAGGCTCGGTAGGTAATAGTAGGTATTAATAAATAAATGTGATAAAACTTCAAATTCAGGTATCGAAAGTATATTACTAGTATTAAACTTAAATATACTTAAATTGAGTACGCTAAATATACAACGTACTCAATCGCATAATCTATAATTTTACTATTAGTAATTGATGATGCGGTGACAGCTAGGTACAATTCCATAAAGCCTCATAGGTATAAAGAAAGCTATTCACGATATCGATCCATAGACAATACCAACGTACTTAATTTATAAAGTAAAGATAATTGATATCGATAATTGAAATGCAAATTGGTTCTATCGATCCATAGACACAGAAAAAAAAATAAAGCCAACTCAACCGTTTTGAATTCAGAATAGTATTTATTTTCCTTTAGCTGGAACGTGGAACATTTAAAATTCTCAATTAAAATAACTACACTTTGTAATTGGCTTTCTATTTGGTGGCGGGTAAATGGAGGATTTTATTCGTGTTTAATTTTATTTGGTTTAACACTGGGTCTACGCTCTACATGTTGGTTCAAACGTTGGCGCCAATTTCACTCCAATGTTTAAATGACTATTTTCCAGGCACACAATATGTTGGTTGAAAGGTGTTGCCGAAAATAATCGGGCCAACTAAAGTATGGACCGCGTGTTACTTTGTGAAACTAGAAACTGTTGTTGATATTTTGTGTTTATAAGAGTTTGTTTTTATAAGAGGTAGATGTGCACATTACGGGACTTCATGCCACTATACAATGTAACACCCACTTTTCACTATTTATGTTACGAGTCTCATATAATAGGGGGTGAGCCTATTGACATATCCGGGCAAAATTCAAGGCGCCGTGCTTCTACTGAATTTTTTTTTTAGAAATTCTGTAATATATTGCCCGACCCGGGAATCTAATCCGAGACCCCTTGCCCGGCAGTCGCACTTGCGACCACTCGGCCAATGAGGCAGACTAACAAACATCAAATACTTCCTGCGGACGGCGAGCATGGGTAACTCGCCGTCCGACCAGAACCAGGTCCGAGTATACGGCGCGTCGCGTTCCATGCGCGCCTCAAGGAGCCATCAGACCACTACAGATGGGGGCCCAATAAGGCTGATGCCGACAAGGAGCCGCGAGGGTTTGAAAGGTTGCCGGGGCTTCGGTTCGAAGTGCAGGAGTAGGAACGGGGTGGTTTTTAGTCAGTAAGAGTTTGACACTCTCTCTCGCCTCACCCGGGCGGGAGAAGATATTGGATGATTTTCCCCACTCAAAAATGTGTAATGTTTTATCTGAGCTGAATAAAACAACTAATATCAAATACTTGCTGGACTTGCAGATCATGTATTCATTCCGGTATGATAACTGATAACTTGAGCAAGTCAAATAGCTCGCAGCGGTACAGGAGATGGTGTGTAACTTGAGTGTAACTACGTGTGTGTGTAACTATGTTACCAGTTTGCCTCGGGCGGTACATGCTGGGAATGTTAGATGCACTCGCTTTAACTAATATGTGGGCTAATTGAGATTCTCGACACTATATGATTGTTATTACCTGAGACAGATCTGCATTACTACATGACCTGAAAGTTAACACCTACTTTTACGCCAGGTTACCTTCATGTACCTAAGTTTTTCTTATAGGCAAAACATAATCCAAAAGTTCGTATTGTGGGTGAAACTGTGAAAGGCTTAAGCCTTCGACTGCCGACAGAAAACTGTTGAGGGTAAATCCTCCGCTATCGTGGCCCATACCTTGTACCCCATGGCGTTCAAGGTGTTAAAATCAATTAAGTATTTAGGAACGCTTTGCTTGAGCTAGGTAAGAAACTAGCTTGAGTTTGACACATAAGCATTTTTGGAACTAAAACTTACAAGAATACATTGACTTGGAATGTCCCATGAGGTCATTTCTAAGTTAAAAATCTAACTATACATAACTAGATAAACCGGTAAACTAGGTGCCGCCTATTTTTTTTCCAAATATTTCCACGAACATCTATTTCAAGACCAAAATTGCCCAAATCAGTTCAGCCGTTCTAGAGATTTAGCGAGACTAACGTAGGGAAATTCATTTTTATTTATATAAAGTGTGGAAGAGCCATGCTTCGGCACGAATGGGCCGGCTCGACCGGAGTGATACCACGGCCTCACAGAAAACCGACGTGAAGCAACGCTTGCGAAATGTTTCGTCGTGTGAGTGAGGTTACTGGAGGCCCAATTATCCTCCCCTTCCCCAATCTCCCCAATCCCTGAATCCCCAACGACCCTCAAACTCCTAATCCACAAAAAGCGGGTGTCGCACTTGTAACGCCTCTGGTGTTCCAGGTGTCCATGGGCGACGCCGATTGCTTACCATCGGGTGATCCGTCTGCTTGTTTACCGGCTTATGCCATAAAAATTAGTTTATAATTACTGTGCTATTATTGTATTGTCACTGTATTGTTATATTCTGTCGTTTCTTTGTTTTATCTATATCTATATAAATATCTGTATTTATTGACTGCACGGTTGGTGCGGTGGCTGGGCAACCGGCTGCCGTGCAACGTGTCGCGGGTTCGATTCCCGCACGGGACAACACTTTGTGTGATCCACAAATTGTTGTTTCGGGTCTGGGTGTGATGTGTATGTGATATTGTATGTTTGTAAACGCAACCACGACACAGGAGAAAATCCTAGTGTGGGGCAACGTTTTTAAATATAAAATAAAAAAAAAAATCTTCTTTTCTTTTTTAATTTTGTATTATTTTTGTATCTGTGTGCGTGCCTACTGCCGAATAAATGTTTTTTCTTTCTTTGAAGTAGACAGAAGCAGCAGAATAACACATTGCTATTCCTTAACTTTAATTTGCTTTACCTATCTTAACACCTTGAACGCCATGGGGGACAAGGTATGGGCCACCATAGCGGAGGATTTATCTTCAACAGTTTTCAGTCGGCAGTCAAACTGTTAAAGCATGTTCTTTTTCTATCCGTTATAACTATTATCCTAAGTAGGTACAGTTCACTATGTCACAAATACACTATAATTCTTACCTTGTTTTAAAAAGAAAAAGAAAATATAAGAGTAACATTAAAAGAAAATGCTCTCGGTAAAATATTAAATGCATTTCCTACTTAAAGCCTGAAACAAAGAGTCGCTTGTTATCAGCGTATTCTATTATGAAACTTCGTGCTATTAAACTTAGGTAGAATTTTGCTTACATATTAACAGTGGTTACAAATTAGTTCTAAGTAAATTATATTTATGTAGGTGGAAAGAAAATTAATTGTTAGTGTTTCTAAATTTAATGTGATTTAAAATACTGGCTGTTTGGTAATGTTTTTTTAGTCAAACTGCTCTAATCTAGAACTTTTTTTACAAGTTCATAATTTAAAAATAACAGATAAGTAAGTTCCATGTCAAAATAACCCTAAGTTTTAGGAATGGAGTCTACTATATTTAACTCGTCGAGTACCGGTTTTGTAGACACAATTATAGAACAATAGGTTGCGGTCACCGGTGACCGCTTGGTGTTTGACAGTTTAAGCTTGTGTCACACCATAAGACGTCCAATATTTGACAGCTGTAGTGATGGAACAAAAAACTCGTGCTACATTTGTGCCATCTGCTGAGCAAAAGAACAGTAGCCCCCATTGAATTGGGATGATGACAAGGTATGAAAATTAAAAATATAATTAGTCCGTCAGTTAGGCATTGAAAAAATATTAGACACGTATTTTTTATTTTGTTGTATAATAAAATGATACTTAGATATAACGAAACAAAGCTAAAACGTCATTTCTACGTATAAAATGTAGATAGAAGTGACGTCACGCGACATTTCAAATCAATACGTAGTAGAATGTATTCGTTTCTGTAAGAAAATAAAAAATACGTGTCTAATGATTAAAATTAATCTACCAGACGGACATTAAAATAAAAATTAGGCATCTACCCTATTACCTATT